TTAATATTTCATATTTTATTTTCAGGTAGGAATGATATTAGGTGTGTCAGGTGCCTGCAGGAGGGAGGAACTATATAATATAACTCTAAATGATATCGAGGATCGAGATTCCTTCATTATAGTGAAAATTCCCAACACCAAAACACACATTCAGCGGTCATTTACAATTACCAATGTGGAAAATGAAACCATTCATTATTTGGAGATTATTCGAAAATACATTAGGCTTAGACCAAGCGACGTAAAATCTGCACGAATGTTTTTAAATTTTCAGAAAGGAAAATGCACTAAGCAAGTGGTAGGGAAAGGCACAATTGGTAAATGGCCCATGATAATAGCAAAATATTTAAAATTAGGAAATCCAACCGATTATACTGGTCATTCATTCAGACGTACTTCAGCTACGCTTTTGGCCAATAAAGGGGTGGATATTTTAGGATTAAAAAGACATGGTGGCTGGAAATCTTCAGCCGTAGCTGAAAGCTACGTTGAGGACTCACTGCAAAACAAAATTGAGTTTGCAGGAAAAATTTTACATGGCAATACTGATTCTTCTTCAGCAAATTCCACGTCTGTATCATGTGCAACATTTTCAGTTAATGCGAACGATCCTGACAAAGCCACATTCCCTATTACTATTAAAAATTGTGATAACTGTACGTTTAATTTTAATGTTAATAAATAAAATATTTGTGTATTCTTTTTTTTGTATAGTTTTTCATTTTTATTTCTGGATGATCTAGGATAAATTTCCGAACATGACTAATATTACTTACCGTTCTAGAACGGTAAGTAATTCACTTACCGTTCTGTCAGCCTTGCCAACCAGTAAATACAACATACCGACGTCAAAACACTGTCGGTAAATAATCAAAATAGTCAAGTCGTACAAAAATAATTATTTCAGGGCATTGGAATATCAAAACATGAGTACTTATATAAGTGGAAAATATAATTAATATTGTTATATTAATATAAATTATACTGTGCGTTCGTAATTTAGCAGATAAAAACAATAAAAGAGTGAATATTTTTCGAAAAAAAGCAGTTTTAGAGACGTAAATACAAATGCATACTATACGCTACTATACGAATAAGGACGTTAAACAAATATAAAGAACATTAAAATACAAGTTTCGTAAGACGTCATTTTATCGCACGAGGCAAGTTTTCTAAAGGGCGAGTGCGATAAAATGTCTTATGTGGTAATACAATGTAAAATTGTCAATGCTTTCAATTTTTCATGTAGAAAAGGCTCGCGCTGCCAACATAGTTACTGAATTTTTGACTTGGGGAATTATCTTTAAAAAAAAAAAAAACTTTAGTTAGAGTCCGCGTCAAGAGTAAAGAGTACGGTGTCGTCATATGCGCACAAACCCAATTTTGAAGACTAACCGAACTATCGTATCGATCGGTGCTGCTGCCGAACGCCAAGCACGTGGTTCATTGTCGTACGGCCAGCAGGCATATTTATTTAGTTTATTTTCTATCCAAGTTTTGTCTAAAAAGATACCCCGCTGCTGGTTTCAGCTCACGGCCGAGGTCACGGCAGACAGCGAGAGATAGACGAGGGAGAGAGATCCGACCCGCTTCGCGCAGCTTTTTATGTCGTCACCGTAGTCTTTACTGCTGACGCGGACTCTACCTATTATGGTATGTTAAACGTCATCACTGACGTCATTGTAAGGATTGGTCTCAAGAAAAAACTGTTCTTACATCCACTTTTCCTTTTATTTTAATTTTACAGCGTATTAAATTATCATTAATTCTTATATGGATAATCCTCTGGCATAAAAACACTATTCATTTTTTAACTAATATAGAAAATATACTATGCAAATGCACTTCTTCCAGAAATTTTCTTGCTTGAACAAAATTCGGACCTCGACGCCACAGCAACCAGCAGTGTAACAGGCAATGTTGTCAACTTGCCGAAATATATTGTTCAGAGGACTCTTAATTTCTATATGGTGTATAAAAACACAGAGTTGTGAGTTTTTAACTCATAAAATACCTAAGTAAATTAATAATTGAAGTATTTTTACTTTTATTTTTATCTAAGTCTGGACGAATTAACATTAACAAGCGAATTAATAAAATACAGAAAGTTTGAAACATAAAAAACTTATAATATTATATCTATACTATCCAATAAAGGCATTAATTTTAAACATTATGTGAATGCAAATCTGTCCAGAGGGTCCAGGGTAAGTAACACCCGATAAAGAAACTCTCCGTTGCGATATCGGGTGTTACATTCAAATTTGCGAACGTGAGCCAAATGGGTGTTACTTACCTCCCATAGATAGAAAATATTCCAGGCAGCGTGGATCGAAGGCTTACTATACTAGCATGCCCGGCCAAAAATATACTGTTTCAATAATTTTAGTCGGTTTTACTTTTAATTGAAAAAATATAAAATAATTAAAAATTAGTCAAGTAATTATGAAAATTTTGGGGGTTCTGCAGCTCTGCAGCCCTTATGCACCAGCCGCCCCTGTGCGAACCTATGTTTCTATCAACTTTTTTCTTTTTTTAATGAGTACCTACTATTTATCCTAGAAGTTTGATCCCACTATTTATTAACACCCTGTATAGGGAATCCTATTTAAAATAGGGCGATATGGGCTAGTTGACATTAAAACTTCCGGTACCTATAAACAGAAGTGCCGCAATCTTCGCGGCAGCTTGTCGTACTCGTATATCAACTTCATCATGTCCTAAAAATTATTTAAATTATTTAAAATAATTTTGCCTTCAATTTACTCCTACATTTTTTCAAATCTCATATTTACATTTACATCATACAAATGTGGGTGTATGCGCATCAAAAATGATCTATCTTTCTTCAACTCGACAATAAAATGAAAGAGGATAAAATAATCAATATCCGAAAAGCGCGCCAGAGGAAACGAGAGGAAGACATTATAACACTTTGTACTATTGTACTAACTGTAAAAAAATGTACTCGTGCGTGATTCGATTCGAAAGCTTTTACATATTTTGATATACACTTAATTCGAACCAAAAAAATGGAGCAAGTGGAGAAATCGGTTTTGTTTGCAATTGTATTTAAAATATACTTTTAAAACTAGGGGCGGAATGTTGAATGTTGGTTTAATCTTTATTCTGCCTTTTTTTCAACTTTCTTCTATATTTCATTCACTAATTACCAAAGTCACTACATAATATATGTCTCTGAAATACACAAATTGAAACAGAAAACTATATCAATTAGGCATTCCAGGTCACGTGACTTTGACAAGGTCCGCCATATTAGCTGAGGGGCAACCAAAGCCTATAGATCATATTGTTTACAGTGATTTTTGATTTTGTGCTTCGGAATTTTTGCGTTTTTTGATTTGTTCAATAAATTTCAAGTTGTTTTTAGTTTTTGTGAATGAATAGAATGAATGAATGAATCTTTATTTACAGACATGCCACTTTACATTTCAATTCAACAATAGTAAACAAACAATCTATTAACAAAAATAATGCTTAAGAATCTAAATTGTTTAAAAAATAAAATAGTTTGATACAAACAACCTTACAAATAAACTTTAGCAAAATAAATTTGTGGTAGAATGACTCCTCAAACGTTTTGACTGTTCTGATCGGTGCGCAGATCTGGCATGTAGCTTACTGGCTTGTTCATTCTGGGCTTTTATCAATTTTCGTAGTAGGTATTTCCTAAATTTGTACTGGGGACCCAATCCGGATTGTTTGTATCCTCAAATTCTGCTAAACTACCTACCTAAAAGGCATTAAAAATCACCTACTTGTAGAAAGATAAACAAATTTTTTGATATAGGTACCTAGATGAGGTGTTTTTGTATTTTAACAACAAGATAGTCATAAAACTTACCATTAACAAAATGTTTCGAACAAATTCGAGCATTTTCAACAACGTTTCAGTCAAATCTCCCCTTTTGAGGCATTTAATCCACATACTTCGTTGTTTTTTTGATGACTCGTTTATGCGATCCCTCCTCGATCTTTAAATGCTGCTGGAATCCAAAAAAACCTCACCTTATCCCTTTCAGCTCTATTGGAGCACCCAAAAACGTTACAAAACGAAGGCATCTTCACAAAATAATAGTTCAAAAATTGTCGGTTTGCATTGAAAATAACACTAAATCAGGTTATGTCTGGCTTGTGTCTGCCCCTCAGCTAAAATGGCGGATCGATTATGACGTCAACCTGGAATGCCTAATAGATTAAGATTAGGCACCTAACCTACATATTTTAGTGATTTGATGTTCCACTGTTGTTTTTATGATTGGTGTTAATGTAGTTTGTATTTTATAATCTGTTTGTCATTTATCTTATTGTGTATTTGATTTTTTTTTCAACATTTTATTCTTAGACTAATTTTTTGTTAAATTGGGAATTTCCCGTTGATGAATGAATAAATATATTTTCCATTCCCACGTTTTTAAAGTTATCTTGAGAGGTATCCTCATCCTCACGATTCGGGACACAAAATGTTAAGCTTATGTGGTAGAAATACTCTATTAAATACAACGGCAAAGAAAACTATAGAAACTCTTCAGACAATTAATCTAGCAAACATAATTTCTGTTTTCTTTCTGACACAATAATGATGGTATATAACAGTCTGGCTCAGCTAGTTGAAACATAACATTATTATTGTTCCAAATGTAGGTAGGTACTAGACATTTCATTTGCAATTTTGTCCAAAAATTTTTCGAATTTGAATTTCGAACATTGTTCCGGATTTCAAACTGGGCTGCTTATTATAAGTTTGAGTTGAGTTAGTTTGGATAAAATACCTCATAACTGTGACTTAAGTCGTAGTTGAGTAAGTAGCCTACGATAAATAGAATATTTATTGTTATTAATAATATTAATCGCTATTGCTTTGAAAAATTAAGTGCTCAAAAATGCGTTATCAAACATAATATAGCTGTACTAGAAAATGTACAAATATCTCGCGGGCGTCAACTGCTAAATTTTGTAAGTGCACCGTACATTATTACATAAACAGAAAACAGAAGCCTGCCTGACATTAGATCACAATTTAGGTTCACAGAAGCGTGTGTGGGACACTTGATATTTTAACATAATTTTTATTATTGTTTGTCACTAGTTGGCACCAACATGACTAAAGATTTTTAGCATTTTAATTGCTAATAAAAAAATTCACAATGCATGCTAGAATTGCGAAGCGACATCGTCTTTGATGAGTTGTGATTATAATAATAATTAAAAAGTCCTAAAAACATGAATTTGCTAAGGCTAACAACATGAAGCGTCATTTTATCACAATAATTTGTTTATTATTGGTTGGTTTATCTGAAGAAGTGGGTAAGTTGTATCTATTTAACATTTATTTAGTTCATGGATTTTAAATAAATAATATTATCTTTATTTGAATGCCTTGCAATATTATCTTGTTCGAAAAAAAAAAGTGTTGGATAGGTATGATTTACTTCTTACTACAGAATTTTATTTTTATATATACAGGGTGTCACTTTAAAAACTTACAATGGCTATATAGGTATAGGTAGATATATCTCAAGAACCAAAAAAATATATAAAAAATCGCTGCAAACAATTTCTATAGTAAGAAGGGGGAGCCAAAATTATGTAATAACTAACTTGTTTTCACTCACCTCCTCACCCCCAGCCACCCCAACTAAATAATCTTAAATGTGATACCTTATCTGAAAGCCCTTAAAAAATGCGTTCCAATGGTACCGTACAAAGCTAAATTCGATGAAATAGTTTTTGGTTTATTAGATACCATTAGATAAATTAGATTAAAAAACATAACAAAAACATTAGATAAAACATTATTAATTTAATAAATGTTCAAAATGATTTCCATTATTTTCAAGACAATGATAGAATCTATTTTCAAACTCTTGACGTAGGTACATTTGCAAATGTTTCTCTGGAAATAGCTCGGCATTCTTGAACTATTCTTTCCTGGAGTTGCTCTATTGAGTCAGGTAGGTGATCCCATAGGAAGAAATCAAGAGGAGTTAGATCCGGGGATCTGGGAGGCCATTCAATGGGACCTTTTCTTCCAATCCAGTGATTAGGATATTATTCATGTAACCAATCCCTTACTGGAACTAGGTAATGAGCAGGTCCTCCATCCCGTTGAAAATGTAATAAATTCGCTTGTAAAGATAAATTGCCGTAAACATCTATCTGATTTTCTAACTCATGGAATATCCGAGGCTCGATAGACCTCTGTAGCATGTCAGCATAAATTTCGCCATTAAAATTTTTCTCCTCGCCCCTCCAAGTTTCTAAAATATATCGAAAGTTGTGAAAACTTGGATAAAAAATTTAAAGTTGGGAGAAATTGGTAGACAAAAATTTGCGCACCTGGAATAATTAAAATTAACATTAGGATCATGTCACGTGTCGTGATTCGTAATGAATTGCAAAATCACCGGACAACAGGATGACGAAATCCCAATGGTCGCGGCCATCTCTTGACGAAATCGTTTTTATTTTTTTCTCACTTTATTTGAAAGATATCGCAAAATAAACTCCACATTCTCATTGCCACTTTTTCTCCACTACATGATGATGCTATTAAATTTTTGATCAGATGTTTCGTTTCTTCGCGATCATCATTAACTTTGTTTATTCAAATGGTCGAATTTTTTTTATTTTATGCCCAATAAACTCTACTTTTTATTCTAAATCCAACGACATATCAAGCTCATAATTCCAGGAATATTAATTTCTACTAGTGGTCCCATCAACGAGCCTCCGCGATCTCCAGTCATTACACCGATGGATTTTGTCTTTTGAGGATTTCTTAAGAATGAAGTTAATTGACTTTTCAGAATCCATCAGTGTAATGTCTGGAGATCGCGGAGGCCCGTTAATGGGACCACTAGTTGAAATTAATATCCCTGGGATTATGAGCTTGATGTGTCATTGGATTTAGAAGAAAAAGTAGAGTTTATTAGGCATAAAATAAAAAACTCGACCATTTGAAAAAACAAACTTGATGATGATCGCGAAGAAACGAAACGTCTGATCAAAAATCTAATAACATTCTCATGTAGTGGAGGAAAAGTAGCAATGAGAATGTGAAGTTTATTGTGCGATATCATTTCAAATAAAGTGAGAAAAAAATAAAAACGATTTCGGCAAAATTCGGTTTTCCATAGATATCTTCGGAATATGTAATTCGGAATGTACGAAATATCAAAACATGACGCCATTGAGCTCAGTAATGCGCAACTCTTTCCAAATTTAAGCAACCCTGTATCTCTTATGGTCTTTACGTTTCCGGTAATAAAGAAACCGTTTTTAAAAAATTAACTTTAATTTAAAAATTACAACTTCAAAAATAATAAAGCAAAAGTACTTGTGAACAGCTCAAAGTCTATGTCTAATCTGAAAGTTAAAAGTTTATTCGCATGGGGCATCCTGGTTTTAAGCTTACACAGTTCTCAAGAAACTGCTTAGGTCGGCGATGCAATGGTCAGCATGGTCCCACGAATGGCACACATAACTCCTCCATCCCTAGAAGGAACTCGAGGGTGGAATCACTCGTGTTTCGTCAATGGTCTCAGTAGCGGGAGGTTTTCTCAGGATTCTTGAAATTTTCATCTTGTTGTTTTTGATTGCGAAATATATGCCGCAAATCAATATTGCAGTTATTAGGATCCATGGAAGCCAATTCATGTATGTACTTTGGTGAATTTTGGTAAATTCTAGAACTCTAGAACTGTTGAACTCCGAAGTTGAAGTTCATGTAGCTTGTCCAAAGGGATTTTCTCTAATTTGATCTTCTCGGTCTTTGACACTGGAATTTGAACTGATTTTATTTCGTTGAGGGTGACTGGATGACCGTGAAATATGTCCTTTTCATTTTTGTAGACATATTTAGGCATTTTTATTGAACATTTTGGCGGGACTGTGAAAAGGCGGGTTCCTGTTATTCAAGTTACTTCGCTTTCTACACAGTCTGTTTGAATTCTTTGTTCTTCCGGAAAGATTCCAATATAGTGGGCGGAATCGATTTCTTCCATCATGGCTTTTTGGATATGTACTGGTACTTGTTGACATTGGTCCAAATTGTTGTTTAATGTCAGCAGTGACGTGATACAATCAGGGTTTTCGTGTATAGGTAGAAGTCGATTGTGTTTGCAGAAATAGTTTGGCTTGAGGTCAATGCATTCTTCATTTTGGTATTGGTAAAGGTCCGTACTTAGGGTGAGGTAGGTCGAAGGTGGTATTATGATGGATTGATTCTTATTAGGTACGGAGAAGAGGTGGTAATAATCGAAAATATTTGAGTGCACAAGAGGGAAATCCAGTGAAAACACGATTTTATTTTCTATCGCAAAAACATTTGTTTCTATGACTTCGTAATAATTCATGTATTCGTTTTGTGAAAATAACAATTGTGCGTGGTGGTGAGAATTATGAAATTCTTTGACGATTTCTTTTAATTCTTTTTGTGGAATTATGCTATGATGTGAGGTTTTTAAACTAGCAAAACTTATGGCATTTTCTATATCGTTTAGAAAATTAAGCACAGAGTCCAAATTTAACTTAATTTGGTCCATTATTTCGTGAATTTCTAGGTAATGCACGTAATTGGATTTTGTTTGTTGTAAATCACTAGCAATGTCATTAATTTTATTTTCGATTGCTTTTTGATTTTTCGAAACTACACTCATTGTTTGATTGATACTTGTCATTAGGTTAGAGGTTAAAGATATTTGTTTATTTACTTTTTCAATTATTTTGTTTTGTTTACTTTCGAGTTCCAGAATATTATCATGTATTTCCTTTGCGTCTTCTTGGTCCAGATTACCAGTAATGTATTCCACTAGTGAGCCTAAAGGGTGAATTAAGCCTCTTTTTGATCTATGTCCTGGACTGATTGATTTTAATTTCTGATTGACTACGTTTACTTCGTAGCTTAAGTGTTTATAAGTTTCAAGTAACGGAAGTCTGTGCGCAATTAAAGAGGAATTAATGATGTTTTCTAGCTTTTCATATTGATAGGTTATAGAATCAATTTGCTTTTGCAAAGATGTCAAATCGATGTAATGTAAGAATGTGTGGGTGGCTATTTTCATCTTGGCAGTTCCTAGTTTGAAGGGAAGTATGCCAGGATTGTTGTCAAGATTCTGTATCTGAACTTTCTGTGCCCTCGTCAGGTGAAGTAGTGTCATCAACCTGTAAAAGGGTTTGGTCAGTAAATTTTCGTGGATTTTTGAATATTTGTTTGTGATAAGTATTTTGGGTGGTAGTGACAGTTAAGTCATTACTTTGTAAGACGTGTTCTGGTTTATACAGTGAGGACATAAAGTCCGTCGCCCCCCTCTAACTTTTGAACCGCTCGGTATATTGCAACGAAATTTGGAATGATGATATGTGAATAGATTCTCCATTTTTTGGAAAACAAATGACAGCTTCAGCTGTCAAAATGACAGCTAGGCGCAGTTTTGATACGTTTTTTTAAATAGAAGGCGGTGTCGAATGATATATCGTTTTGAAGGTCTCTTCATTCTAAATTTAATCCCTGATTCTGAAAACATTTGGTTTAGCGGTTTTCAAACTATGACGAAAAAACCAAAGCTTGTTTTGCTCATAAACACTCATAAAAAAAAAAAAAAAAATATTTTTTATCGGTTTTTTATTCATTATTTAAGTTACCAATGTCATGACGTCATTATTATTACTGAAAAAAAGACAATAATGAATAAAAAAGCGATAATTTTTTTTTTTTTTTCATGAGTGTTTATGAGCAAAACAAGCCTTTGTTTTTTCGTCATCATTTGAAAACCGCTAAACCAAATGTTTTCAGAATCAGGGATCAAATTAAGAATAAAGAAACCTTTAAAACGATATATCATTCGACACCGCCTTCTATTTAAAAAAACGTTCCAAAACTGCACCTAGCTGTCATTTTGACAGCTGAAGCTGTCATTTAATTTTCAAAACATGGAGAATCTAGTCACATATCATCATTCAAAATTTCGTTGCAATATACCGGGCGGTTCAAAAGTTAGAGGGGGGGCGACGGACTTTATGTCCTCACTGTATAAAGGATTTGTCTTGCCCTGGCGGTCGGTTAGTTTTTTATAACCTATTGTTCCGGGTTGAATTTCGACAGGGTCTTTTCGTTGGCTTTAGAAATTACTTTTTCTTTATGCTCGGTCATTTTATTATGAATGTTTTTATAAATATCTGAGATTATCTCTTTATGGTTATTCAGTTCGTGATTAATTAATTGGGTATCGTTATCAATATCGATTGGTTCCTTTAATTGGAGGTGACCAAAAATTAAATCGATTGGTTTCTGGTTTGTTGCTGAA